GTTTGAAGGTGTTGGAAAAGTAGGTGCTACCATATTTACTGGCGTAAGCGGGAGAAAGAAACAAATCAGCACATACCAAAAAAAGAGAACAAGAAAAGAAAGAAAGGAAATGTTGTACCCATAAGTGATATTAGTTAGAAAGTCGAGATCCAGTTGTACTACTGACTATTTAATGAACTATAGTTGTCACGCCTAATGCTTTCTTTATCGCACAGAACACGAACTAAGTAGGGCATGGTTGAGGTTTTGTACTTGCTGGTGTGAGCATATAGTTTTCTAGATAGGCTTCTGGTGGTTTGCCTGATGAGATGCAAGGGGAGAGTTGTGAGTGAAGAGGGTGGTGTGAGTAAGATAAAATGGATTTGGCCCATTTTTCACATGGGATATAAACTACCACACTCTAGTTGCAGATGTTCCAAATGCGAATAAAAATCATATTTGATCACATCACCTAGGTCACTCTTGGTTCAGAAGATAAGCATAAGTAAAACAGAATCCGAACTATTTCATGTTTTAAAATCATAGGAACAGAAGAAGGTAAACTGTACACCAGAGTCTGCAAAAAGCTAATGCACTCTTGTAGACATTTAGACTTTAATTCATCCTATCCTGTTATCTATGAAGGCTGGCTTAGTTAAGTGTCTAACAAACCGAGCAATAACACTAATTAGTACATCAAAATAAAGCCTAGATGATGAAGTGAGACAAATAGAAGAAGCGTTGATGCTGAATACAATCATATCGGGAAGATTTCAAAAGGTTGATTAGAAAAGGAAAAGCAGTAATAGCGCTATTGACAGTGTTACACTGATAGGGAAGAATTAAAGGCATCTACAATTTTATTATGTGTAAGGATTACACATCTGAAACCCTATGTAGAATTCTTAACAAAGCAGGAATTAGAATGGTAGTTGAAACTTAAAACCCACTCAAGGTAAAGCTATATATTTTATTATTACTATTATTATTGTTCCCTTGGGTTCCTAGTGAAACATAGGGCTTCAATTGCACGTCTCCACTTGCTTCTGTCTTCTGCTGTACTTTTCACCTGCATCCAATTTAATCCACACTGTTTCAGTTCCTCTTCACACGATTTCCTCCATGTCACACTTGGATGTCCCACTCGCCGCTTCCCTTTCGAGTTCCTCTCGAGCACTGGCCTGACGCGCGATGTCACCCAGCAGTCTCCTCAGCGAGTGTCCAATCCATCTCCACTTTCTCCTGCATATTTGTTGAGAGATTGTTTCTTGTTTTGTTTGTTCCCATAGTTTCTTGTTGGTGATTCTTTCCGGCGGCCATCTGCTCTTCAGTATAGAGCCAGCGAAGACAGTTGTTGATAAAGGTCTGCAACAGGCTGTTGGAAATATTCTTTGTGACCCGCCAAGTTTCTGATCCGAATAGAAGAACTGACTGACTTGACGTTTGTATTGAAAATCCGAATTTTGTTGTTGATGCTCAGTTGAGTGACGAAGATTTCCAGATTGGTTTCAGGTTGATGAATGTGTTTCTCGCCTTCCCGATTCTCGATTTGACATCCCCGTTCGTTCCTCCTGTAGTTGAGACAATGCTCCCAAGATAAGTGAATGAAGTAACCTCTTTCAAATCCCTCCCGTTGATGGTGATTGGCGCTGGATGTTGCTGCTGCTGCTGTTGCTGGTTGGTTATTTTCATAACCTCCGTCTTGTCGTTGTTCACCTGGAGTCCTGAGTTTGCTGCTTTCGCATGTACATATATATATATATACTCGAAATAAACTCACCTCACCCAATCAAACAAAATAATGTACTCTACAGTATACCTTGTAGTGACTCTGGTGTCAGTTACATAGATTAGGCGAGTGGATTTGAAGTATTATATGGTTGGAGGCGATCGGCAGGAAGCCTTACTTGACCTAGCTGTCGTGCAACTTGGCACTTACCAGTCAGTAAGGGGCATCTGCAACCTTGAAGGAACTTATGTTCCTTCTAAGATTTGAACCCAAGTCACCCAGTGCCACCTGCTGTCAGAGATGTTACCATGGAGCTATTCAGATTCGCGATTGACTTCCTGTACGACTGTATTGGATAACTTTGACTGGACACTAGTTAGCAACTAGTGTAGAGTGTCTAGTCCTTTTTTGCCAAGGTTACAGATACGCCTTGCTGACTGGTAGGTGCCAACAAGCACGAAACCTAGGTCGGGCAAGGCTTCCTGCCGATCGCTTCCGAACACCTAATATCAACAACTCACAGTGCACTGTGATGGTGGGTCATCTAGTGGCATGATAGCCACATTGCAAACTTGACTGATAGAATTCAGTCCGCAGCAAACAAAGGACTAGACACATAACACTACATATTGACTAGTGTTCAATCAAAAGATCTGAAGTAGTAAGAATGTAAGAACCTAGGCAATCAGCTTAGTGTAGAATGACTAATCCAAGGAAAATGAACATTTCGGAGTAAAACTCAGCAATCACAACGCATACACTAACATGCAATCACACATAATAAGATGGAACAGAACTCCATTATGGATAAGATTTTATTTTGATAAATCACACTACTAGTTTGACTTATGTAATTGACCTACCTCACAGTCATTGCAAGGTATTTTGTAAATTATATTATTTTGTTTAATTGGGTCAACAGGGTCCCACAGTGTCTAATTTTTATACTTATATCAATAACACATATGGTCTTCCTACTAGGAAGCTTATCAATAAACTCACACGACTCTATTCTGTAGGTTAAAGGACCCTGTTGACCCAATTAAACAAAATAATATAATTTACAAAATACCTTGCAATGACTGTGAGGTAGGTCAATTACATAAGTCAAACTAGTAGGTCGGGCGGGGGTAGTCAGATTATCAGAACATAAGAATTTAGCTAAGGGAAGAATGGCTGACTCCGAGAAGATAAGTAATTTAGAAAAAAGCTCAGCAATTTCACTTCTCACGTTAACACACAACCACACAACACGGTGGGTGGAAGAGAGTTAAAATTTTAAGAAGTAATATAGGTAGGTGGAGAGAGAGGTTGATTACGGAATCCTTGTTCATTGAGTCTACACCCAATACATGCAACAGAGATGACTCAATGCAAATACCAGAAATATGGAAGATATTATTACCGCCAACCAAATCAGAAGAGAATAATAAATAATCTCCAAATTCTATTTCAATTCAAGCACATCACAACATTATAACAAGTTACTTATTATGACTAAAAAGCACTCGTCTCATTTCCCATCTGCCTCTAATTGATCAATAACACTTATTATTATTTCTGAATGTACATTATCCCATATTGATTTTTATTCAAATGTCTAATCAATTCTACTCATGCATATAAATTAAGTAAAAAGTTGTGTGAGTAACTTGATATGATAATGAGCAATAGTTTGTGCTCGAGATGTCATCAGTTAATATTGCTGTATAACAACACCGTGTGATTTATCAAAATAAAATCTTATCCATAATGGAGTTATGCTCTACCACAGTGCCCAAGTTTTATACTTATATCAAGATGGAACAGAACTGAAGTTCTAGAAAGTAATTTACATAGGCCAAGAGAGAATTTAATTGCTGAATCTTTCAGTATCGAATCTACACTTAACACAAGTGGAATATAAATAATTTAACCCCGACACCAAAGATGTGGAAAGTAATATTACCATTAAAATCAAAGGATAAGAAGTAATGATGTGATGGACTAAGTTAATCTTTAAGCACCACTATCTAACTACCAATGGAGTGCGACCGTACCAGTGACCTTGAAACGCTCACTGAGCAAGTCGGTGAAACCTCGCACGTAATGTTGTCATCATCACTAAAATATGCTCATCGAAGTGTTATGCTATTAAACTGGATTTCTGGCAAGTTCCACCTTAGGTTTGGTAAAGATGAAGTTACGCTTTAAGCCAAGGACAAGTCGGAGTTTGGTTAAGCTAAGAAAGGCGACATTAGGATTGGTTCGAGTTAAATTACAATTTATTTAGGGGTATTTTCACGTTAGGGTTAGGTCCAGGAAAGATTAGGGTTATTGTTAGGGTTAGAAGACCAAAATAATTACTTGCATAGAATGTGGTTAAATTGCTCTGTTGATATAAGAATAGAACTTGTGCACTGTGGAGGTAGAGTATAATTCTACTATGGGTAACATTTTGATAAAGTCTCACAATGATATACAGTAATATTTACGGATGACGTTTCGAGCACAATTTATTGCTCAGGAAATATTACTGTATTACACTATGAGGCTTTATCAAAATAAATTTTACCCAGAATGGAATTATACTTTGTTGATACTCCAACCTAAAACTGGGAGCTATTTTTATCAAATGCGAGAGGAAGGTATCCTCTGTAACACTTTTCTGCAGTTTTTATACATCTTTTCATAAATATATGTATTCCATAAAGAAAAATCCCTCCTTCACGTGATTGGTGCTTTCGAGGTTATTTGCTGATTGGTACTTGGTGGTGCTTAAAGTTTAACTTTGCCATGTTATGTAAACGAAGTTTGAAAGTTATTTAATTGCCAAGACATGACATTATGCGCAGCACTAAATTGTGCTCTTATTTTCATCAGTACATAATACTGTATCAAATAAATTTACTTTATAATGCCATTATAGTCGACCATAGTGCTCACTACCACTGTGCGTCGGTGGCACAGCGGTTAGGATTCTCACCGACCATGCACATGGTCCGAGGTTCGATCCTCCGCCGACGCACACCTGATATCTATGGTCGGCCTGCGAAATTTGGGCTACCGATATCACACGCTGAAAATTTCATACTTGTACCAAAATACTGTGTGGAATCAAGCTATATTAAAATATTTAAAAAAATAAAGTCTTGTTCTTATTTGAAGCGGAATTTGAAAGAGTACTGGCAAAAAATATTCGAGATGGCCTCCTTCAACATATAAACAGTCTCGTTTATTCTAAACTAACTTCTCATCACTTGTCACTACTCACTTCTTCTATTCGCATTTTTGTGCAAAAAATGAATTTTAGGTGGAGTCTGCACACCGGATCAAGCTAAAGAAGCACAAATCAATAAATTAAGAAGTCGACTAGAGAAATTAATGGAAGAAACAAGATGTGAACTAATGGCAATTGATCAGAATATTGCTTTATCCCCGAGACAAATCAACTGGCAGTGTAAGTCTGCATTAATTGCTGCTTTATTCTCTCTCTCTCTCTTGTACGAATGAATAATGTGTGAGAGATTTGTGAACATATTGGATTTATCAGGTATTTTTCAGAAAATTACAGCGATTTTTCAGAAATTTCATACATTTATTCTCCTGTATAAATTTGAATAATGCAAAAATAGCAGTCTGTCCAGAATGTGGTTGCAACGACAGAAGATAAGGGCCAGGCAACAGATCGTTTACTGAGAAAATCAAGAGATATTTATATATATTTTTATGTACATTATTATTCGTTATTGTTAGCAGAGAAACAGCGTCTTCTGACTGGTCGTTTTCTCACTGGAAGTTCATCTGTCTTCTATTTGTGGCCGTTTCTTTGAAGGTCAGACCATATATCTGCTAATCGTATCCGCCCACGCAAAGTGTTTTGTGATTGATTGTTGAGTCAGTGTTTGTTCTTGTTCATTTCTCATGACCAAGATTTTGGACATAAACATTGACGTAAATTGCTGTCTACCAATTTTGGCTAGCAGACAGCTCTTACCACAAGGTAACACTGTCGCTTATATCGTCGGTTTCTCATCCGCTGATTACAGCATGAAGAAATTATTAAATTTATGTACGGAACAATTTTTAACATCATTGTAAATGTTATATGATGTTGGTTAATGATAGAAGACTCCAAACGTCTTGATAAACAATGTTCAGAAATTACTCTTATTTAGATTTTAACCAAAGGGTTAAAGTTTGAACAAAAAATAAATGATTGGATATGATGTTAAGGAAGTTGCGTGCTTGAATATTTGTCTAGTATCCCCTTGGGTTCCAAGTGGAACATACGGCTTCAATAACACGTCCCCACTTTTGTCCTATTTTCTGCTCCCCTCTTCAAAGTGGTCCATGATTGGCCATAATCTCTCATCTCCTCCTCACACGGTCTCTTCCATGCCACCCTTGCACTGACGACCCACTCGTAGCTTCCCATTGCATTCGGATTCCACTTGAGCGGTGGCCTATATTGCGCGTGATGTCATTCGATGGTCTCCATTTTCTCCCACATATTGGTTGAAAAATTGGGTCTTGGTTGGTTTGTCCATCGCCAGAGTTTTTTGTTGCTAATTCTTTCGGATCGACCTGCCAGCCACTTGATCCTCTCTACAGAGTCGACGAAGGCGGCTATTTTTAAAACTCTGTAGTAGTCTGTTGGAAATTCTTTCCGTGACGGGTGAGCAGTGCAAGTTTCTGATCAGTTTAGAAGCACTCATTGGCCGACTGACTCACTTCACATTTGTGTTGAAAAGAATCCAAATCCTGTTGTTTATGCTGACTGAGCGATTGAAGCAGGAGATTTTCAAACTGGTTTCTGATTGATGAAGATGTATCATGCCGTTCCGATCCTCTCTGGCTGGCTGACTGACTTTGATATCTTCATCCGTGCTGTCCGACTGCCTGTGGTTGACACCGTGCTTCCTGGCTGGATGAGTGAAGGAAGTAACCTGTGTCAAATCTCTCTCGTTAATGGTGACTGGTGCTGGTTGTTGTTGCTGTTGCAGTTGGTGGTTGGTTGTCTTCATCACCTCTGTCTCTGTCTTCTCTATGTTCACCTGGAGTCCTGTCTTCGCTGCCTATTCTGCCAGTTTGTTGGTTTTTGCCTGTAAGGAAGTCTTCGAGTTTGTGTGGAAACAAACATAAATCATCTGCAAAATCCGGTATTGAACATGATGAGTAACTAACAAATTTAGTAACAATGTGACGTGTGAATTAAAACAAAAAGTTAAACCTTAGAGTTTTCTTTAATGAGTATTAAAACAATTAGACAAAGCAATAAGAAGCCGTAATTTGTCTGAATCGTGTGTAATGTGTATTTGCGCAACACACATTTCGAAAAATCTGATCACACACACGGACTTGTCAGACGACTATATGTATACTAAATTAATAAAGAGTTAAGAGGTGAGAAAATAAAATACTTAGGTCAAGTTAAAAAGCTGCCATATTGCAGGTCAAATAACAATGAAGATCACTAAACTAAATGAGAGAGGTAATAGTACATCTACCCTGACTAGTATCGAAACAAAGTTTACCAAGGTAGGTTTAGTGTGATGACGAATTGTTTTTGAACGCATTAAGGTGGTTTAAACTTTCTAATTGCCAGTAAGGTCTTCCACAAACTTTAGGATGCGCCCCAAACACGTTTTATGAGTAGGTTTAAAAGACGTATAAACATCATCTTTATGTCCTGTCTCTATAGTATGTCTTTCTCAGTAGAGGAGCTAGGTCTCCTGTTCTCACCATTAATGGGTTCTGAGGATTCTATTTGCTTCTGGAGTCATTTAGCATTACGCTTTTTCATTATGGATCTTCTTAAGAAGATATTGATTTCTGAGGACACATTTTAGGAATACAGACTGGCATATTTTTCATACCAACATTTATAATGACTTATATCTTGAAGCGAAAATAAATTGTGGACAATTTCAAAACCTGTCGAAACAGCAGTATTTGATAGTCTATCTTTGAAAGCCTTAGGGTGAACCAACAGTCATATATCTCGAATTTCCCTGAACAAGTTCCAGTTTTCGTACAAGTAAATACAAATAATACTTCGGTACATATCTGAAACGAGACATTGTCAATGATAGAGAATGGAATTAACTGACCAAGGTTTTTGTTCAAGAAGTTATGTCCAATCCAGTAGTTTAGTTCTTGTGTAATTTCGACAAAAAATTGATGACTTCAAGGAGTTTGGTGAATCCGTCTAGTGGATGACCCTTGGGTGTTTTAGTTGGGGTTTCCACAGCAACATCAATTACTGTGGGTTTCAGGTACATCTAGCTGACTAGTCCCAAATAGCATGAAATGAGAATCCTATTGGATTCAATTACTAGTCACCATCTACCCAAATCACTTCGTCTTAATTCTCAAACATCGTTGAAGCCTCTTCAATCGTGCACACTAGTGACACCTCACCAAGGATAAAGTCCAGAACCTTCAGGACAAAAGGCAAACTCTTATACTATTCAACCACCATGATGTAATCTAACAGCACTTGAATTCCAGTTTCCACTAGACATCATTACCGGCGAGCATTTGTCGTCACCTAGGTCTTGGTGAACCCTTATGGTAATATGATTCTTTACTTGAGGTTCAAAGAATATTTGTTTTTACCGTCAATCAAGATTTAATATATTGAAATGTTGAAACAAAAAACCTTTTACTATTTTTCTTCTTTGTTTCACAAGATGAAAGTGTATGCCAAAAATTCAAAAAGAATGCTTGCAAAGAAATGAAGAATTTCATCCAAATACTTTATATAACAACAGAAAGTAAATGCATACCCTATTGTTATTACCATTGTCATTCCATGATCCTTCGTTAATTTTTGCATAATGTTTACACTACTTATTAAATTGTTAGTAACATAAAACACTTTCAAAATATTTTATGAGGTAAAAAATTCTGAAGATAAATATTGGATAATTAGGAAATTTCTCTCAGTTTTAATCAGCTCTTTGCAAATCAGATGATGATTTGGTTGTTATCCTATGCACTTTGGTATATGACCTACCGCTAAGATATACCAGTTTAGTATAAACTGTGTAAGCATTAGTTTAGTTGATAACCGTTTTTACTGACAGACCGTGAAAGCCTTACTTACTGAATTCCAACAGCTATCCGCACTCTGGGCAACCCTTAAAGCCTCTTAGTCTAACCCCAAACGTGTTAAGTAGTGTTGTATTAACGAACAGAGTTTTCCAACAAAGTCTGTATGTTTTAGATTCCCAGGATGAACTAGTTAGCTCATCGAGACATCTCATATTGTTGTAGGTAACATTAGTTTTCAGGAGGCTCATCGTCAGGCCGATCAACTGGCGAAGGATCTGCAGCTAAATAATAATTCCAGTACTTCTCTTCTTAATCTGGGAAGGATTTGAATGTATTATCGATGAGATTTTTCTGGATATAGGTCAACTAGATACAACAGTTGTTGCTGTGGTGGTGGAAATTTGTGTAACAGGTGATGATCTTCAGGGACTGTCTGCCTGAATCGTTCACTAAAATCTAGTCAAATGATAGTCATTTCATGGAGCTAAACATTCTCCGCTTCCATAAGCTCCTTTGTCATGGCACCACAGTCATGGTATTTAACTCACCGTTAGTCAATCAATGTGATGACCTGTACTAGAGAAGAATCCATCGATGAAACTAAGCTTTTCGTAGATGATCGTGTTATGCTTGTTATTCTGGCTTGAGGATCAGCGTTTTCAACTGTATATTTGCGTTTTCTGTAACGTTTTCAACTTTAGGATCATATGTCACGGTCATCTAACTTCGTCGTAAGTGTCAGTGAAGAGAAATTAAGTGGCTCCATTTGCCCCCGAACAAACCGGTGCACTACTTCACTCCTGCCCATTAACCAACAAAACTAAAACCATCCGTAATATACCGAACAAAAGTTGCCACAGCATAAGAAGACAAAACCAACGGCATTCACACGCTAAACTCCATCAACTATGAATAACCTTATATTAGTCAAAATGGACATCCCCCTTCGTCTTCACATTTACGAAAATAAACTCGCTGTAATAAAACATGATACCCATTGCGGTATATCAATGTACGCAAACAACTATGGACAACAATTCAATAAGAAAAATGTACAAGGAAGAACTCAACATGTTCTGGGGAATTCCTCGAAGCATCACACTCACACAAATCCATCATCAGCATATACATTGACATCTATCACGTTTATCAAACAATGAAAAACAAATCACATGGACGAACTGTCAGGTCAATGCAAGTGGAAGAGAGAGAGGAAGAAAATCTCCTGGAACAATCAATCACATACAGGGCCACTAAAGAAGACGACAATCAGACTCACTGAGGTCATTGCTAATTACGCTGTCCAGGAAGACTATGAATACCTCTCAGTTAAACCATCTAGCTTGGAGAGAGAATATAGTTATACCAATCTGCTCCTGACATTTCCATAGATGTGGCCAAAAACTTTAAAGCCAGAAACCTCATCTTAGTTTGTTTTATTTCTGAAAAAATCTACTGTCAAATAGATTGAATAGAATCATAACGATCTGAGAGCATATGGAGAAATAAGATACAATTTCACCATACACAATTTTCAACATTTTTCTATACACTTATAAAAAAGAGACTTGATTTTAGAAACCCCATACTATTAGCAACGAGGAACTCCGTCAGGTTGCAAACCAGTTAAACATATGGGAGAAAATGGAGATGGATTGGACGAACTCTACAGAGACCGTTGAATGATATCATGTGCCAGTCAGTACAGTGAGTGAAACCCGGAATGGAAATGACAAGTTAGGTGCATTGATCCAAGGGTGATATGGAGGAAATCGTGTGAGAAGGAAGCTGAATATCATGGTCATTCGTGGAGGTAGCTAAAGGAGACTGCGTAAAACATACTGGAACAGCAGTAGGCTGAGGAAGCCATACTGTCCACTTAGAACCCAAGGGAATAACAATATCAGTATGCAAATTTTTCGGATGTTGCACCGTGTACACCTCTGAGGCAGACGCTTCATTCTGTTAACCAATAACCAAATAGCTGTCATAAGTAACTGCTTTTCATTAGATGTTGTACTATATATATATATATATATATATATATATATATATTTGAGGCAGAAACCAAGAAATTTGAAAACAAGATTGAACTCTACTGAAACTCATCAATGGAAAGGGATTCAGACCCGTTTGATTCGATAGTAGTACTGTAACGACAGAAGACAAGGGCCAGACAACAGTTAGTTTATTGAGAAAATCAATAGATATTTATAGATTTTCATGTACATTATAATTAGCGTAACTGTTAGCGAGAAGCGACCTATTCTGATTGGTTGTTTTCTTACTGAAGATTATTCTGTACTGTTTGTGACCGACGGTTTCTCAGAAAGTTAAGCCATCTATCTGCGAATCGTATTTGCACACGTTAGGCCTTTTGTGATTGGTTGATGAGTTCCTCAAGGTTAAATTTTGTTCTTGTTTTTTCTCATGACCCCGATTTAGGACGTAAACACTTACCGAAATTATTGTCCACAATTTTGGCTTACAACTAGCTCTCACCACAGTATTGCTAATCAGAGTGTTCAGTAAGATGGTTCTGTCGAAGACTCCTCCTTACGAGCACCAGCAATCCTAGCTATGGGTCGCCAATATGTACTCGGTCAGATGGAATGAAACAAGGATTTATTTTAACAATATTTTCTGCATGTTTTTATTTTTTGTATTCCTTCACGTTTCCAGCGGAACATAGGACTTCAAGCTAGAGGATTGAAGTTTCTCTAGCAATGGCATTTATTTTTTCAGGATGGGTTTGCTAGCCTCTTGCCCAACCTTCCCTCTTTACTGGTCTTACTACTGGCTTAGCGAGGAAAAGGAGTACGTCGGCCGGGTGGGTCAAACCCCGGACCATGTCCATGGTCAGCGAGCGTCCTAACCGCTGTGCCACCGACACACGACAATTTTTAATGTTTATATTTAAAAACGCTTGTTTGTTCAGCACCATGATCTGTGAAACAAAGTAGATTCGTTTTCCAGGAAACCGCACCAGTCCATATTTACACGACTCCGTAAATTGCATAAAACTGGAAACTACTGACTGGTTCAGATGAGTAGTATTTGTATACCAATCACAAATCAACGAGTAGTGCTTACTAGTCAGCCAGATTATCGAAGTGATCTTAACACACCTGACGGCCATTTCTCTCGTTTACGGTTCAGCTCACCCATTGAAATGTGTACACTGCAAATCGTGAATTTGATGAATAGCTTAGCCTCTCAATTATTTTTGATAACTTACATCGTTAAACATACTGTTTCAGTCAAGTACAATTGAGAAGTGTACTGTACTCAGCTTCCCTCTAATTTCAATTTACTTTTTTTTCTCCATCTATTACATAATATCATGTAATAAGAACAACGAATGAGCCAAGGTATGAATACAAAACACATCACCTCGTATGTGATGGATGTTTTAGAAGGTGAAATAAGTCGAATAGTCGGATACAGTGTTAAGGTGAGTAACATGTGAGTTTTCTCTTTGTTTAGTTTCTCTTGACAAGTATTCACATTCATACGAAAAAAGAAACACGAAATATAATTTATTCTCGGTGGTTCAGTGGTAGAACGCTAGCTAACCACGCTTCACGTGGTCCAGGGTCCAATCCCCTGCCGTTTCACTATTAGACCTCACTTGGCTTGTAGTAAAAAGGGCTAACATGAAGCTAGTAACCCCACTATGTGCATGAAACACTAGAGCTATTTAAAATTCAAAGTTCCAGCTTGAAGCTTCATGTCCCACGCAAAATGTAGAGGAATCAATTTTACAAATTTGTGTTTGGTTTTTAAAATCACATTTGTTGATGTATCAACAATTTTGGAATGGACCAGTCGGGAACCTATTGTTCAAAAAATGTCACGAATGAAATGGAGATAGATCTAAGACGTGCTGAAAAAACCATAGAATGACATTGCACGCTAAGCATTCGCTCTACTGGGCGTTGGTCCGAGGGCAACATGGCAGAGATCTTGCTTGGAAGAGGTCAGAGACTGAGGGGAAACCAAGGGGCCAGTCAAAGAGGACCATAGAAAGTAGGAGAAATTAGTCATGTGCTGTCAAAGCTCTATGCTCCATTCAGAACCCGAGGGAACATTAATAATAAATGCCATCGTACAGCTAAAGACGAGAATGAATTCACCGCAAAAATAGCCTCTTCAAAGCTGAACTACTTAACGTAGCTTTCTTTATTCCATAGTAACTTCAGTGTAAATCACTTGATTTCTCAGTGAAACTAAATATAACATAAACGGTTTAAATTTTGTACGATGACGACAGAAAAAGAAGCATTCATAGTACAAACTCACTCAGGGACAAGCTCTGTTGGCTAAAGGACCCCGTCAGTTGACCCAATTAAACAAAATAATACAATTTACAAAATACTTTGCAATGACTGTGAGTTAAGTAAACTACACAGGTTGAACTAGTAGATTAGGAGTAGTGAGATTATCAGAACACAAGAATTTAGCTAAGGTTAGAATGATTGATCCCACGAAGATAAGTAATTTAGAAAGAAGAACTCAGCACTGCATTGCACTGCATGCATCAACACACGACCATACAATAGAGTGGGTTGAACATAGTCAAAATTCTAGAAAGTAACATAGGTAGGTGGGGAGAGAGATGGTTGATTACTGAATCCTTGTTCATCGAGTCTACACCCAACACATGCAATAAGAATGACTGATCACTAAAACCAGCGATACAGAAAGTCATACTACCAGTAATAAAATCAAGAGATGAGAAATAATGGAATCATATAAACGCAGTTATAAAGTTGTGTGAGTAGTGTCTTGATATGATTATGAGCAGTAATAAATTGTGCTCGAAACTTGGTCATCAGTAGTAAATATTACTATATAACAACACTGTGTGAGACTTTATCAAAACGAAATTTTATCCACACGGGAAATAAACTAGTCGATCACCTTTGTATGAACTCTAGTCTATTGCTTGTATGTTTATTTCTAATATTTATGCTGAATAATATCTTGTTCACTTTTTATAATAAAGGGTCTTACAGACACAACTAGTTGGGTTGGTGAAGACGATAAAGAATCGATATCGATGGTTGATTCAGAAAAGGTTGAAGAACGCTTAGCTGATGTCCTCCTCAATAAGGTAAACATTCATTTGATGTAAACATTATGCATCTCTTGTTAAGTCATTTCAAGCATCTGTTATTACGTACAAGAAACTGAGTGGTTATATTTGAAATTGACTAAAACTGTAGCAGAAAAGTGGTTTAAATTATACCTTGGTGGAACATGTATAATACCAGGTCAAGAGGTCCCTGTGGATTGTCTCCAAAGATATATTAAAACAGGTTTCTCGTCGGATTTCCGAACATCACCTTGTGTGGTTAGGTAAAGGACAAACAAAATCTATTCGTAGCGCTATTCTATTCTCAGAACACAAGATTGATGTTAACGAGGCAGCTTTCAGAGTCATTTACCACATATCAACTAATCTTAACTTCGCCTTAAGAGTTCGTCTACTACATATTGCTGAGGCTGGCTGTTGGGATCCACATTGAGAAGCTAGTTCAGACATTATCCTTACCTCGGCCATCAAGACTCGAATGATCCTGAATTTTTGTGGAATTTTCCAAATTTTATTTGATATTCTATTTGCTACTATATTTTTATTATTATTATTATTACTATAATTTAAGCACCTTTAATGAACTGTAATTCCATTGTGATCTTACTTAACAAATTGATATTATTTTAAAAACACTAATATTGTTATTGACTACTATTCTAGAATATTCTACGTATATAAACATATATATAATTGTAGAGCCAGAAGAGGAATTTATCGAAAAGGATATTGTTTACTCAATTATTTTGTGTTTTCTGAGTTTTTCAGTTTTTCATAAAGTTGTGTTCTCTGAGCAGCTGCTAGATGGTTTATTTGTTTGAGAAGCTTTCATTGCTCTACTAGGGAATATCTTCCCTCAGCGTATGCACTTCAATTTGAAGTGAGCTTTCAGATTTCTCCACGAGTTTATTAGTCATCTCTCCTGGTGGTGATCGTGAACAACGTTGTGATTGGTTGCTTTGTGTTTTTTACACCCTCTAGGCTACTTGTATTGGTGCTGATTTTTTCACTGGCTTGAACTTTGACCCTTTGTTTCTGAGATTCCTTTTTTATCGTTTGGTAAATTTTTTCTATGTCAATGTGTCTATTGATTGACGATTCACTGGGATACTAGGCTCCTAAAAATTCTTTAGCATTCATGGTGTTTCCTCTGTCTAATATGTGAACGTTTTCCCAGTCGAATTGATGTCCTTTGTTGCCTGTATGCAATGAAGCGATATGAGGGAGTGGATGTCATGTCTTTTGACGGTAAGTTTATGTTCATGGATATGAAGACGAAGAGGACGTCCACTTTGGCCAATGCAGTGTTTTTCGCAGTTCGCGAAATATACCCATTAAGACATTGAAATAAGAACAAATTAGTTCAGCGAAGGGTCTCTTTTCGGCGAATTCATTCACTTAGCTGTACAGTCGCAAATATATACAATTAATTTTGTGTGTGTGTGTGTATATTACGTTTGTCCAAATCAAAATCAAAATAACAGTTAGTGTGGGTTGTTGATTATATCATCAAAATAATTAAGAAATTAAAATGTGTGATTAATACTCGAAGTTGTAACTAAGTGGGGTGAAGATTGGTAAGATGTGAGTAGAGTTACATCATCAAAATAATGAAGTTAAAATGTGTGATTAATACTCAAAGTAGTAACTAAGTGGGGTGAAGATTGGTAAGATGTGAGTAGGGTTACGCAATATAGACATGTTTAGAAAGATTAGATGTTACTGAAGGAGTATGGAGACAATTATGAAAATAAACTAGATAATAGGTGAAAAGATTGAATGGGTTAGCTACTAAAAATTATCATACGAAAATTGCAAAAAAAATTTGATAACAAAATGTTGATGACAGATAAACTTGAAATCAAACCCACGGTAGTAGGAGGGGGTGGAGAAGTTTCTTCTGTGTGCATAAATCAGGCTTTTCTATCCAAATCGCTAAGGCTTCGGCAATACAAAGTATACGGAAGCTTGTCGATTTTGGATGACTTTGAACGACTTCTCCTTGCAAATCGAATGACCAGTGTTGAGCATATGCTCAATAATGGCGCTCCTTATTGCTCCGTTGTTACCTTTCCGTAGCCAGGCGGGATAGTGCTCTTGAACTCTTTTAGATAAAACTCGCATCGAACGACCTATATACCTCGCTCCGCAAGAGCAGGTGAATTGGTAGATACACATGGAAGTGGTAAAATGCGATAGTTTATCTTTAGAGTAGTTGAAGAACAATGGCCGGGAGGAAAATGTCAGTCGTAGTGTGGCAGCGAAGAATGTCCTTCTGAGAGCATTAGATATCCTCTTCTTCAAGGTGTCAGCCAGAAGGTCACCTTTGAAGGGTACATTCATGCAGACCATCTTCTTCTGCACTGTAATGGGTTGTCCTTTGTAAGTCTTAGGCTTGATATGCTTGTCTATAAAACGAGGTGGGTAGCCATTCTCGAGCAGTGTCTTCCTTAAGAGGGCGATCTCTTCCTCTATTGATTCAGGACTGCAGATTTTTCGGATTCTAGTCGACAGAGATATTATGAAGTTTCGCTTGCGACTAATTGGTACCCAACTGTAGAAGTTTGTCAACTGACCGTTCCACGTAGGTTTTCTGTGTACTGATCTGTTCAAGGTACCATCGGTCTTCTTACTTAAACAAACGTCTGTCCTTTGCAAAGGACAGACAAAAACAATCCATAGCTCAATTATGTCACACTTAATTGATAGTGGTCATGTAATCGAGAAAACGAGAGCCTTCAAAGTGATTCATCGTATCCCACCGAATCTTTCCAATAGACTTCATATTCGTCTACTGCACACAGCTGAGGCGATAGGCATTCGAACTATATTAAACCTAAACTATGCATTCAAAAGAAGTTCGTACAGCCATTATCCCTCACTTGGCCTATAAAGACATAAACAATTAATGACTGCTACACCACCCTTTGTTTATATCTTCAACCCCTCTCTTAGCATCCCTTAATCTTATCACATCTCCATTAAAAACGTGTTTCATTTACTTCCCTTACAATCTAGCATTACTTAATCGGTTCATTTGTTTTTCTTAGCCTTTATCGATTGCTTCTACCTGAACAGTTGTTTGTTTAATCATGCTATTTTTTGTTATTCTTGTTTTCACAGATTGCCTCACTTTTTCAACCTTGTTATTGATAGAATTATTATAATTACTATTATTGTGACTGATTGCACAATTTATATTCACCAACTTATTATCATATAGACAGAACAGCTTGATCGGTTTATATTTGAATTTTTATTTGTAAAGTCATGTATATTAGAGTTAAGCCTGATGAGATCTAATTGAAAACATATATATATATATTCAGACTATAGTATTCGTGGGGATTTCAGTCGCTAGATTTTCGTCAGCTACAGAGGTCAGTGAAAACCGCCAGGTAGCACTGGAAAACTGTTTCGTCCTGTCCTGGTAAAGCTGCTATACTTACTCCTAACCTTCCCTCCTTATCGTGCTTACTTCCAGCCGACTGAAGGTTCAGGATTGCGACGGCTTTTCATCGAATCTGGACCACATTTAGCCTGATCGGTGAGTACTCTACCATTGCATCACCGATGCATCGGTAATATTACTCTTAAAAAGTGACTAGGGACTTGAAAGTTCCGCTGGAAGACGATTTTAAAAATGAGGAAACTGAGTCGTAATGATCGACTGTAAATTACTTGAAAAGTGTAGTCCTTGTCTGAGATTTCTGCTATATCTCTCTGAAGTCAGAGTTTACTAGCATTTATTTCATCACTAGTCACCTAATATTGTAACGGAGTAACTCAGAACGTCACTTAAGAATCCTAGGACCCCTTTGTCTCATACTGCGTGAGTACTGTCAAAGCGTGAATCTCATTCGCTTGTATATCTTACAAGCTAGCATTTCTCCAAGTTTGATCACCTACAGAAAGTTTGAAATTCAGGGAGTACTGGACAACTGTTTCGTCCCCTGTAGGAATCTTTAACAGTCAACACTCATGATCACACCATGGATAGAACCGAGGACCTTCACTTTATAAGGCGACCTCGTTGAGCATTCACCCACCGGGGTGAATATACTGAAGACTCCGTTGATTCTAATCCGTACCAATTCATACTATATGACACGACCACCAGCCAATGCTATCGGGGAATATTCGTCCTCACATCCAAAGTTGTAGACCCCAGTAGGGACGACTTCTCACTAGAACTTTAGACGAGTTCACCTAGTAGGCACTCATTAGTGAGCAATATATTGATTTTCATATGTTAATTTATGAGAGGTCTTATCGGTCCCCAGTTTCCTATCAATTAAGGAACCATTGAAAACCAGCAGGAAGTATTGAACAGCTGTTTCGTCCTAGTTTGAGATTCTTCACTCATCTCAATTCGCCTACTAATATAAAAACTGCTGGCATGCATGGCACCTCCCCGATGATTTACGCTTTCTTCGCTTTCTTCTTCTAATCTGCTTTTATAAAACATTTCATCGTGAAAATAATCGCCCTTTTATTTTATTTTTACTTTCAATTAGATATTTCCAATCACACCATCTTCTGTAGTGGGAAATAAATTTTTCCCATCTGAAGTGAATAACATCCCATATACTACTCCTACCGCTAATAATACTATTACAACAACGACAACAACAATTGCTACTACTGCTGCGACTGCGGTTGCGGCTGCTTCTAATATGAATGATGGAAAATTTGATGATTTTGTCAACACTTCATCAAACAATAAAAAAGAAGAACTCAGTGTCACAGAAGGCTTCCCAATTCGAATGGAGTATTATTTACCCTATGAAGAGAAATGCGGTAAGTATATACTATTATCAGTACATTGTACAATCTCAGCGAAATTGAAATGAGTAATTCCAACATTTCGTTCGACAAACTGATCCGAGCTTCTTCATGGAAATCAATTGAAATTAACATAACACAGGTTTATAAATAAAAAGGACATCTTTTATTTTAAATCATACTTGGTCTAAATTCCCGATTGCCTATACTGACTGACCGGTTTCAACATAGAACTTTGCATCGATGTGCAACAGTTCGAGTCTCAACATCCATTTAGCAAACAAAGAAGAAGAGTACTCTCTTCTTCAAGAGAGAGATTCAAGAGAGACAATAAACAGAAATATGAGGCGAAAAAAACAGTAATGCGGAAGGACAACAGTATTTTATTAATTATTATAAGTTACAAGGAGTGAATGCATCTGCGCCAGCCACTGTCAATGATTTTGAGCCATATCAAAAATTGTCTCCAGCCATCGATTTTTACCGTCCCTACGTGGCTTAAACTAACTGTTGTGGATTTCATTGACTGATGAAGCCATGTTTCCATTTGACCACCACTAGCTCTTTTCCAACCTGACCCTATATCAGCTAACATCGCCTTTCGAGGAAGGCGATGTCTAGGCATACGTAACACATGTCCTAATCATCTCAATCGATGTAACTTCACAGGCTCGTCTATTGATTTCCCCTCCCACCTACCTAGCACTCAACCGATGACTAACATCAATATTGCTCACCCGATTATACCACCTAACACGGAAGATTTTACGTTCCCAGTGGAACACACCATAGGGCTTCAAGCTAGAGGCCTGAAGTTTCAGTAGCAGTGGTGTTTATTTTTACAAGATGGGGTTTCTAGCCACATGCCTAACCTTCCCTCTATAGCAGTCTTATTATTAGCTTGGTGAGGTAAAAGAGTGCGTCCGTGACCGGGGATCGAACCCCAAACCACATAGGGCGTGGTTGGCGAGCCATCTAACGCTGTGTCACCGACGCATATATCATTAGTATGATAATTATTATTAATATTCCGCTGGGCTACGATTGGAACACACGGCTTCAGCAGTAGATCTTCATTCTACGTTCTTCTCTGAAGCCTTTCTCAGCTGGCTACTTGAGTCTTCATCTCCTGTGCACACGATATTCAGCATATCACCCTCAGAAGCACATCCAGCTCGTTGTTGCCCATTCGGATTCCGTTCAAGAGCCTGACTGACTCAAAATATTGCACAGTAATCTTCTCCGAATATGCCCAATTTACCTTTATTCCCTTCTGCATATTCTTGGGACAGTAGACTGTTGTTTGGTTCGTTTTCAGAGTTCGATGTCATTTATCCTTTCTGGATACCTGATCTTCGGTAACCTAGAGCGAATACAGTTGCTAATGAAAGCTTGCAGTGACCTGTTAAGGTTCATAAAGCAATACAGACCTCCGCTAATCTGAAATCACTATGGAAATCGAAACTACTCAGCGTAAGGAACAAAATCGTAATTTTCAACCCTAATATCAGGTCAGTCATTGCTTCTATATGATTCACAAAACCTTGGGGTCCTCAAAAAGGATTTCCAACAGACTACTGTAAACCTTCATCAACGTATGACTTCACTACTTTGATACTGAAGATCAGGAAACGGACAAACCAAACCAAACAATAAAATTCATTAGGAAGATCGAGAAAAGTTAAAAGCAAAATAAAAATAATTATGAAACTAGTAATGATAACACAAATAAGAGAGAAAATAAGTCATCTACTGTTATACCATATAAAGAGGGGACATCTGAGACCCTACGTAGGATTCTAAATAAAGCAGCAATTAGGGTGGCATTCAAACCTACAAACCCACCCATGTAGGACAAGCTCTGTAGGCTAAAAGACCCGGTGGACCCAATTAAACAAAGTAATATAATTTACAAAATACCCTGCAATGACTGTGAGGTCAACTACATAGGTCAAACTAGTAGGTTGAGGGTATTCAGATTATCAGAACATAAGAATTTAGCTAAGGTAAAAATGGTTGACCCTGAGAAGATAAGTAATTTAGAAAAAAGCTCAGCAATTGCACTGCATGCATTAACACGCAACCACACAAAAGGGTGGGAGAGGGTTAAGATTCTAAGAAGTAATCTATGTAGGTGGAGAGAGAGACTGATTACTGAATCCTTGTCCATTGAATCTACACCCAACACATGCAACAGAAATGACTCAATGCAAATACCAAAAATATGGAAGATATTATTATCGCCAGTCAAATCAGAATATGATGATAAATAATCTCAAAATTCTATTTCAATTAAGCACATCACAACATCCTAACAAGTTACTTATTATGACTATAAAAACACTCGTCTTATTTCCCATCTGATTGTATTTGATCAATAACACTCATATTATTATTTCTGAATGTACTTTGCCTCATATTGAATTTTATTCCAATATCTGGTCAATTCCACACATGTATATAAATGAAGGAAAAGTTGTATGAGTGACTTGATATGATTATGAGCAATAGTTTGTACTGGAAACGTCATCAGTTAATATTACTGTATAACACTATATTGTGTGACTTATCAAAATAACATCTTATCCATAATGGAGCGACAAAACAAGCATCTATCACCCAACAAATATTTATTGGGAAATGTAGACGAATTGGATGAGACCGTTGAGTTTCGCAGCACGCAAGACAGACTTTCAAGTGGAATTCGAGTGCGAAGCGATAAGTTGTGCACTGGTCCGACGGTGATATGGAAGAGATCATGTGGATTCGTCGAGGAGGGGAACGAAAGCCTCTAGGCAAATATAGTACCTGCAGAGATGAGAGTGAAATCGGTGATGTGCTCCTGAAACCGTACGTTTCATCTGGAACTTAGAAGAATATTAATGTACTGAATAAAATATATCTGTTGTTTATCCATTATTATAGTATTGTAATAACAGAAGACAAGGGCCAGGCAACAGAACGTTTATTACGGAAAATCAACACATATTTATAGATTTTAATGTACATTATTGTAGGTTAATGTTAGTAGAAAATACAGTCTGTTGATTGGTTGTTTCTCACACAAAGTTAACCTTGCATCTCCTTGTGGCTGTGTCAGTTCATCTATATGTTAACTGTATCCGCCTGTCCATCTTGACCTTGTTTTCACATGACTAACATTGACCTCAATTACTGTCAACCAATTTGGCTAGCAACCATCTCTCACCACAGTATATCTTCTGAAGTTGTATGGTGTATTTACTTTTCAATAATTGATTTGTATGAATTGCACCAACGGTTTTAAACACTATAACAACACCAAAGAAGGAACTTAGATCAAGATTTTGAGAATATATATTCCCTGTTCCAACTGGTAGAAGCAGCTCGTCCTTTCGTAGGATTCCTACTAAGGCTGGAATTAGGATGGCATTTAAACTGGCCAATTCACTCGGAAGTAAACTTCATCGGTTTAAGCATCCAATGGACCCACATAAGCACAATAATAGTAATAATGCTTGACAAACTCTTATTATTTGTAATGTCAAACAGATTACGTACTGCTGTTTGAATATCTGTCGCTTACTGAAGACATTCCTTAGTAACCTCATCTCGAATAATGTTTTTTACAAGGATTTAATTACGGAATATACGCATTTGATCATAGGAATTATTAAAAAGGCAGTTGCTGCGAAGAAAATTTCCTTTTCGATGATGTCATCAACTAGGCTGTACACTCGTGTATGTAGGATAAGTGAGTGGGAAAGTTCCAGAATAATTTGCGGTCAAGGGTCAAATTAATAAAATCACAATTAAGAATTAAAATGCCACAATAAACATGGGGGAATAGATAAAACTCAAACAAAGTAGCGTCATGATTACTGAAAAGACTGGCGTAATGTGTAATTGGGGTTAGAAATGTATGAATAACAAAAATAGACAGTATGTGTGTACAAAACGATCTAATTCACTGGTTCTTGTTCGACTGAATGAAGCGATTATCGCATAGATGTTATACAATAAGGACAGCAGTGATAGGTCAGATGCTAAAGTGAACTTCTAAACAACCAAGCTCAAGTCCTCCAGAAGTAGTTAGTATGTCAGCAGTTGAAGTTCCTGTTACTGGAACAAGATAGCCCTCTTCGTTCCCTCTGATTCTCTATCTGACGTTATTTTGCGATGAAATTCACTTTAAACTATTCGAATCATCAGTACATCAGACAAATCGACATCATTTCATGTGAAATAATTTAAAACTTTCTCCCTGCCTCTCTCTCTTTCTCACTTTCTAGAATTTCGTTGGTACAAACTGACTCATGAGAATCAACGTATCCCAGTCAAGTTGGATTTTCGCACGGAGCATGTTATTACAGCAGCGACTAGCAAATCTATACGCCAGTATCCATTTGTCCTGTCAAATTCTGGTTTTATCACTAGTGAAACAAAACAAAAGTTGAATCAACTTAACAGAGAAATATCAGAAACTATGATAAATAAAAATGATGCTGATAGGAGCAAGGCGAAAAATATGATCCAACTGCAACATCATCTGATTATCTGGGCTAGTAAGCTTGATGATGCTGGACATTATTATGCTGCAGTACAATATCCATTGGATAAGAATGGAACATCAGCAATTCAAGAGAAAGATTATCTCCTACAAGTTCTAAGTAAGCTAACCGAACATAAAGCATATCAATTGTTTTTGATTGGACACTAGTCAGTAACTAGTGTGGTGTGTGTGTGTGTTAGTCCCTAGTCCTATCTTTGCTGCAGACTGAATTCTATCAGTCAAGCTTGTAATGTGGCCACCATGCCGATAGGTGGCTCACCATCACTGTGCACTGTGAATTGTTGACATTAGATGGTTGGAGGCAATCGGCAGGAAGCCTTGACTGACCTAAGTCCCGTGCTAGTTGGCACTCACCAGTCAGCAAGGCGTATTTCCACCCTCGACTGACTGATAGAGTTCAGTCTGCAATGAAGATAGGACTGGACGCATTACACTAGTCACTGACTAGTATCCAATCAAAAATACCCAATACAGCCCTAAAGGAAGTCAATCGCGAGTCTGAATAGCTCCGTGGTAACATCTCTGACTGCAGCCGGCACTAGGTGACGCAGATTAGAGTCTTAGAAGGGAAATGAGTTCCTTCGAGATTGCAGACATGCCTTGCTAATTTGTGAGTGCCAACTAGCACGAAACCTTGGTGGAAGACTTCCCGCCGGTTACCTCCAACCACCAAAGACCAACAATAAAGTATATAAGATTATGAAAGCTGTGGAGATTTCGAATCAATTCCAGTTGTTAGATCTTCATGATGAATCGACACGTCAGTTGGACAGATGACTGAAAACCAACCAGGGAGTACTGGACAACTATGTCGTCCTCTTGGTTTGAGACTCTTTAGAATTACACATCCACCGATAGGATTCGAACCTAGGACCTTCCTGTCACAAGATAACCTCACAGATCAATTAGCCACTGGAACCGAGCCCAATGGCATGTAAAATCCTAATCTTATCAATTTTTGAAATACAGAGAGATCTCCAACCAATGTTATAGCCAAGTAACTGTTGTTATTAGATGGTTGGAGGCAATCGGCAGGAAGCCTTCCACCTAGGTTTCGTGTTAGCTGGAACTCGTTAGCAAGGCGTGTCTGCAACCTTGAAGGAACTGCAGTCAGAGACGTTACCACTCAGCTATTCAGGCTAGCGATTAATTTTCTGTAGGAGTGTATTGAGTAGTGTGGTTAGACAGTAGATAGTAGCAAGAGGTCAGAGTACACCATGATGGTGAACCACCTAGAATGGTGGCCTCATTGCAATCTTGACAGACAGAATTCAGTCTGCACCAAAGAAAGGACTAGAAATATCACATTAGCTACTGTTTAGCGTCCAATCAACGCATCCAATACTATCCTACAGGAGGTCAACCGCTAGCCCGAATAGCTCAATGGTAAAGTCTCTGATTGCAGTACTGGATTATTCCAGTAAGAGTCTCGGAAGGGATATGAGATTCTTCAAGGCTGCAGATACGCCTTGCTAACTGGTCAGTGCCAACTTGCACGAAACCTACGTCGAAGGCTTCGCGTGTCCAATTGCCTCCAACCATCTAATATCATCAAATCAATGTGTACCATGATGGCGAGCCACCTAGTAGCATGTTGGCCATATTGAAAACTTGACTGATAGAATTCCGTCTGCACCAAAGAAAGGACTAGACACATCACACAAGTTACTGGCTAGTGTCCAGTCCAGTAACTATTGTCTTACCTGACTTAGTTTACCCTACTGAAAATGGCTTCTCCCTAGAACTTGCACTAATTCTCCGTATAGAGACAGTCGCTAGTGAGAACCGGATTAATTTTCAGGTGCTGGTCTGATCGTGGGCTGCCATCAGTTGGGCAACGCTGGTAGATCAGGTGGCATTGGATAGCTGTTTCATCACAGTTTGGCTAAACAATAGGTGTCTGCCGATGACGATTCCCAGAGTGGGACGAAACAGCTGCTCTTTACTCCCTTGTTTTCCTCTGGTCCTCCAACTCATTTCAGCCCGCGGTCAAACCTTTAGCCAATCACTTCCCTGAGAATTAACACAATAATAATAAAAATAATAATCACTTTATTTTAAACAGTAATTCTTATACAGAATGGAATTTTCAGTATCGCACATATTGCGACAAGTTGTCTCCTTTTGCAAATAAATAAATAGATAAAACAGCAATAAATAATATGACCACACAAACATAAGTTAATTGCAGAATAACATCTGTAATAATTGTGTTTATAATGAGTTGCCGTTTATTTGCTGATTATAAAGTAGGTTTATAAGCTCTTTTCTGACATCTGTCTCTTTTCACACAACACCCGTGATACTAAATACTCGCCAGTGATAGCATTCGCCAGCGGTCTCGCCATATCATGAATAAGCAGAAGTTGGAATTCATGCAGTGACCAGGGAATCGGGTCCCAGTGGCCGATGAATGGTTTACGAGCTCGCTAGCCTTGTAACCAGAAGGTCCTGGGTTCGAACCCCAATAAGGTGGGTGCGTGCTGATGAAGGGTCCCAAACCAGACTGGCGAAACAGTTGGCTGTCCAGTACTCCCTGGGGGATTTTCCAATGGTCCTCTAAACGATGCCATTTCATGATGAAATCCAGAATCACGAAATGACTGACGCTGAATTTCATCAATACCTAGATCCTTTGACTTACACACTCCCGAATAAATTAAAAAGTAGGAAAACATGTTCAGTATCTTTCAATCCTACCTAATTAGAATCACACATGACTTTTATGCTCTTTATTATCTATAAATCAACACAGAACCCAATCTATCACCTCCTGAAGCTCAATCGAAACCAGCCTTTGTTGAACCTCTCACTGTACAACCAATCAATTGCGGCAATAATGATCCATACATTGAAATGACCTGTGTAGTAACAGGGAATCCTTCACCAAGATGTCTATTTTACAGAAATTCAGTTCCTATCCCTATAGTAATGATGCCATTGAATAAAATTAATCAAGAAGAAGAAGCAATATCTGCGATGAGTTCTTTTTCACAGAAGTACACAGTGACATCATCCTTGTGTAGGCCATCAAATGAAACAAATCGACCAGGTGGTTGTGTACGCAAAATCACTTTACGCATAAATCGACCATCAAGTTCAGAAGATATAGCCACTTACAGTTGTCGTGCATGGAATTGTCATGGACGAACTACGACAACTACTGACCTGTCTGTAGAAGGTAATCGTGAATATTGTTAAATTAATTGCTGGTATTCAATTTAAACGCTATTTTAAAATAAGAACTAGCATTTTGATCCTAGTAATATTACTATTATTATTATTTTATATCTTTGCGTTCCCGGTGGAATATGGGGATTCAAACTTGACCACTGACGTTTCTGGAGCAGTGGTTTTTCTTTTTACAGGAGGGCGACGGTCGCTAGCTCCACGCTAGCCCAAACTTCCTTCCTTTTACCGACCTTACCACTGGCTAAGCGAGGTTTGTGAGTGTGCCGGCCGGGAACTGAAACCCAGACCACATGAGGCGTGGTTAGTGAGCATTCTATCACCAGGCAACCGATGAGCAGAAATGTAGAGTAATGCATACGAGAATTATTATATACAGTTAGGTAATTTGGTGAGGTGGTATGCGTCGGTGGTATAGTGGTTAGGACGCTTGCCGACCATGCACATGGTCCGGGGTTCGATCCCCGGCCGACGCACTCCTTTACCTCTCTAAACCAGAAATAAGGCTGGTGAAGAGGTAAGGTTGGGCATGAGGCTAGCAACCCCATCCTGTAAAATAAACACTGCTACAGAAACTACAAGCCACTGGCTTGAAGCCCTATGTTCCACTGGGAACGTGAAGGAAGAAAAAAAAAATTTGGTGAGGTGTGCAATATTGATTTAACGACCAATTAACTTGTAGGTACAACCATTTTTCGTGGTACTCAGCATACTACTAGTGGCAGTTGCAAGCAGATACAGACAACTTTTTAAATTCACCGGAAGTATGTCCGTTATATCGATAAGAAGACGGTGGAAGATCTAGACATTGAAGATGATTTATGTCTAATGTGACATAAATTTGAAGACGTACAGGTGAAAACCGATAAAAACTGGAAGAAAAATCAGCAAAGACAGGAATACAAGTGAATATAGAGAAGACGTAGGTGATGAAGATTATCAGCCAACCTACCAACCAACAACAACGATAAGCACCAACCACCATTAACAGGAGAAGCATCACTTCAAGTACAGGCAGCCGGCATAGAAGAGGATATCAAAACCAGAATCGGAAAGTCACAGCAAACCTTTATCATTCTGAAACCAGTTTGGAAGTCTTCTACACTCCGCAGCATAAAGAACAACACCAATGCTAGGCTAGTTGGTTTTTCTATATGGGTCACACACTTGGCGTGAGTGACATGAAAAGCTTTTCTAAGAGGCAACTGGAGGCTTTTATCAACAGCTATCTTTGTTGGCTTCATGCTGAAGATCACATGGCCAGCTAGAAATAACTGGCGACAAGAAGCTTTAGTTAAGAACAGACCAAGAACCTCCACAAGTACACGTAGAAGAAAATGGAAATGAACTGGACACACTCTGAGGAGACCGTTGGGTGTCTTAGCGTACCAGGCCATCATTCAAGTGGAACTCAAATGGGAAACGACTACTTCTGAATTAATATCTCAGACGTTATATCTTAGGTCTTCACCGAACGTCCTTCATACTGGAAAAGAACAAAGCAGTGAAAATGTGTTCACTGTCTGGCTCAAGTATTTTCCTTATTCAAATTCCTTTATAGTACTACCGTCTGACCTTCCTGTCAGTGGGACGTCTACAAAGAGAATTTCACTTTAGGATTCTTCTCCAAACTTGAATCTGATAGTTGGATGTATTTTCCTCGACTGAGATGTTGTTATTATTATTATTATTGCGTTTTTGTCGAAATCATTTTCCCAGGCGATGAACGTATAATCCACATACTGGGACTAAAATGAGAATTTTGTGAGAAGACTGTTTAAAAGACCATTTTCTAGTTTACTCAGAAAGAAATCTGTTGACATGTTTCCCGATGGAAGACCTATTGCCACTCTCAACTAATTGTCTATGGAGTTCACCACAAATCACCAGAAATACCCGTTGAACTATGAATAAAATAAAAGACAGTCCCGGGAAGAAAATTTTATTTTTCGACGAAATCATCTTCAGAGGCTGCCGTACGGTCGTATTTATAGTTATCAAAAATGTATAGTTGTCAATTATTGAGTAATAGGGGGTGACATAATCGATATAATTACTCAGAAGTGGCTTTAGAAGTAAAAAATAAAAGTTGTGAATCACGTAATACTCAGTGGCACAAAGGAGGAAATCATTAGAAATTTGATAAGTGAGAATAAAAGTAGCTGAGTGTCAATTTAACAAGAGTGAAGAGGGTGTGAAAATACACAAAAGGAACATTTGAGAGTGATAATAGTGAATTAATTATTCAAGTAAAACCAAACTAAAAGTTAAATTGAAAATTAAAGAATTAGAAAATAAGACTTTTTAGAGGGAACGACCAGTAAAGAGGTTAAGAACATGGTAGAAATAAGAGACTGGACAAACTTTTTCTGTATACAGAGTTCGGGGTTGTATCGACGAATTGCCAATGCCCCCGCTATACACAAATGCCGAAACCTGACACCTTTTGTACCACTTGGCCTCACCTTGTAGAAGATTTTGAAAGACGACTGTGGTGGACCTACGTGGCTTGAGTTCACCAAGTGCTCAAGAATTAAGCTAGTAACTCTCTTGCTTTGTCCTTTTGCTAACCATGTCGCATAATGTTCGCAGATGCGTTTGGAAAGTGTGCGCTTTGTGTTGCTAATATAACTAGCTCCACACGAACAGCAGGTGAATTTATAAACACACACTGAAGTGGCCCATCCAAAGCGGCGGCTTATGCTTCACACATCCACTAATCATTTGTCGGCTGTAGAAATTGATCCGTAGCTCAGCCGCAAAGAATGCTTTCCTCAGTGGTCTGCATAAGCTGTTCTTCATGATCTCAGTAGTGGTACCACTTTTAAATTCACTGTTCACAAACAGCAGTTTCTTCGGCACCGTCTGGATTCTTTAGGGTTTTTTGCTTCACTTTCATGTTTTTCTCCATGAATCTTGAAGGATATCCATTTTCCATGAGGACTTGTCTGAGTATTTCCAGTTCACCATAAATTTAAAGTAATTATATCGATTATGTCATCCCTATTAATCAATAATGGACTACTATACATTTTTAATAAATATCAATACGACTGTACAGTCTCTACAGGGATGATTTCGTCGATAAAGAGAATTTTCTTCTCTCAGTTCACCATGAAATTTAAAAGTGACACTCTTGGTACACTTTAGTATATATATATATATATATCTAAGGCTTTAACTCATTATTCCTATTTGTGGATCAGTGATAAATTTTAAATGTTAAAATTGTGATCTTGTAGTTTGCATCTTGAAGTTTGTAATAATGATTGCTGGGTTCAAGAACATATTTCATGAGTGGATTATTTTAAACCTTTACGTTCCCAATGGAATATGAGGCTTCAAGCCACCGGCTTGAAGTTTCGGTAGCAGTAGTGTGTATTTCTACGGAATGGAGTTGCTAGCCTCATGCCCAACCTTCCAACTTTACCAGTCTTATTACTGGCTTAGAGAGTTAAAAGAGTGTGTGTCGGCCGGGGATAGAACTCCAGACCACATACATGTTTGGCGAGCATTCTACCGCTGAGCCACCGATTCACTTCATGAATGACACATGAGGAAAATCTGAATCGAAGCACTGCTGGTCACTTATTTATCTTGATATCACTTTCAATAATGGGAATCTTTTTATAGACTCTTTGAATGTCTAATATACTCTCTGAAACACCTGACAGTCCTGAAGCATTCCTGCTGATAAGTCCAATTCTTTTATATAAAACAGCTGTCCAATGCATTTTAACTTTCAACGGCTCTCCAACCGAGTGTGACATGGTGGAGATCTTGTGAAAAGGGAAATAAATGCTAATGGGTAACCGTAGAGCCGGTCTAACTGGACTACAGAGGATAGGATGAAATGCAGATGTATTGTTGAAGCCCAATGTTCCACCGGGAACTCAAGGAAATAATAATAATTTGTTATAGTTAATCCTTGTTATAAATAAAATGCTTGTTCTCTACTTATTTCCCCCCTCTTGATTAGATCATTTCTCCAAATTCGATTGTCCTCCTGGTAAGGCAACTCTTTTTGAAAGACTTAATATGGCCAATATTGAATCAGCTAACTTGGCAGCAAATATTTCACAGACTGCTCGTGAGGTAAGCATACAAATTTATTATAATATAAATTATGATTATTAATTAGACTAACAAGTGCGCTGAAATGATTTCAGTAGTGAATTCGATTGCGTATTATCAGATTATAATAAAGGTTTTTTGTATTTACCAATGAATGAATGAAAAGCAAAACAGTATTGTTCTGTTTTTACTGACGTTTTACTATTTAATGCTGCTGCTAATAGCTTTATCAAAGTATTATTAAACTTTACAAACTTTCAGCTTACGTATTGCAAACTTAATCATCGTTCCTCAGCATAGGGTAGTTTTTACGTTGTTGTCAAGTTGGCCACTTGGTAAAGATAACAAAACCAAGCGTAGATTGTTGGATTTGGTGAGCGTATAAAATTACAAAAGTAGCATGTGCTTATACAGTAAAATTGCTTATCACATTCGACCCACTTCAACAAATATTTAGACCTCGGATCATCACACCCCACCAGTGCAATGGTATCAGTTGTTTCAAGTTTTCTTAGACCAGCACACTCTTTGATGTTAACGGATGAGAAGGAAAAAGAAGAAGAATAAATATCAAACATTACTGAAATTCTCAAGAAAAATAATTATCCAAGGAACTTCATTAACAAAATCGACCCCGATATTTAGTATGGTCGAAAACTTATTCCGAAGACATGAGCCTCAACAGCTGTCATTCCACATAGATCAGAAATGTCAGACGATATCAGAAGAGTAATCAATATGCACGACATCAGAGTCTTCTTCAAAACATCAGACACACTGCAAAACAACCATGTTCATATAAAAGACCTAATCCCTAAGGATTCTCTATCTAATTGTGTCTGTGAAATAAAATGCTTGGAATATGATGTGAAATACATCGGACAAACTTCACAAGAAATCAAAATCAGAAGAAATGAACACCGTAGAGCAGACCATCTGTTCGACCACCGAGAAATCCAGTTGAACTATAAAAGCCTTAAAAATCATTGGCTATAGCTCTACACGCTGCAGAACCAGGTCACAAAGTTGATTTTAACAATAATGAAATAATCCAGAAAAATTTCAGATATCACAAAGAACGTCTCAAATCATCAGAAGCACTTCATATCGAATTGAATCTTAATTGTCCAAATAGGAATAATGGACTTAGACAGAATTTGACCTGGTTACAACACCCGTCCCCATGAAATGATAAAATCAACACGAATGTGTGATAAGCAATTTCATTATGTAAACACATGCTACTTTTATAATTTTATACGCTTATCAAATCCAACAATCTGTGCACATGATTTTGTTATCTTTACCAGTTGTCCAACTTAACAACGTCAAAATTACCGCATAATGAAGAATGATGATTAAGTTGCTGTATATGTAAGCTAAGATTTGGTAAATTCTGGTTTAATAATACTACTCCGATAAAGCTATTAGCAGCAGAGTTGAATAGCAAAACGTCAGTAAAAACAACAATATCGTTTTGCTTTTTTTCATTCATTGGGAAATACAAAAACTTTTCTATGGTTGGTTTGTAAGGATTAGTTTTGTTTTTACGAGTTGATCACGGGTTGATATTAGTTAGAGAACCATTGAAAGCCAACACTGGAGTACTGGACAGCTGTTTCGTCCTATTCTGCGAACAATCAACAGTACGCACCCACCACGAGGGTTCGATCGCGGGACCTTCCGTTTACAAGGGCAGTGAACTCATGTACCATTCAGCCACTTGGATGCGATCCCATGGCCAACACATGAATTCTAACTTCTACCATTTCGTGATACATTTAGCGCGACCACCAACCAATGTCATCGGTGGGAAATCCATCCTCATACTTGACTGGATGGACCTCATTGGTCACGACTTCTCACTAGAACTCCAGGAAACTCTGTCCTGTAGCAAGTCACTACGAGCTTGCCTTGTAACTGAAACGGCCTGGGTTCGAATCCTGGCAGGGGGTGCGTACTGCCGATGATTCCCAAACTAGGATGAAACAGCTCTCCAGTACTCCAGTGCTGGTTTTCAATGGTCCTATAACTGATATCAATCCGTGATCAGCTCATAAAAACAAATACAAAAACTTTTACTCTTCAGCAACTTCGTCAGGTTCTACAGTTATATGTATCCATGATAATAAAAGAATTATTATTTCTACTGACAATATCAAAGCGATTTGTTTTAAAATAACATTGAAACACTGACATCAAAATCCCAAGAGGTATATGCAAGTAGACTGTTAGTAGATTATTAGTTCAAAACACGTGTGTATATGTGATGATATGCATAGATGTAACTGCAACTCATATTTCGCCACAAGAACGGTTGTGATTCCTCAACTGGAAACCGAAGTACTCAGACTAGCCACCTCATCTTGTAGGTATCAATTGAACTATTCCTCTTGTGGAGCCAGTTATATCAGCCGTTGCTCTAGGAACCTAATTTTTCCTTGTCGGGAACACCAGCTAGTATGATTGAACAAAGGTTCTGTATTGGAGCACTTCGTGCAAACATACAGCAAACCCAACATTGAATTCTGTTTCTCTACCATCTCCCGGGTGTTGAGTAAATTACGAAAGGCTTCTAGATACAGAAAACTCCAGACAGCAGGGGCTATTGCAATTCGCTTAAATCGACTTTAGTTGTGTTTGAAAAAGAGACGGGTCCAACAACTATTGATACCCTGGCTTACTGTGGAACCAATAATTTCATAAATAACGTGTCGCGTTACACGTTTCAGGTGTGAACTTCCATTCTATATTTATAAATTCCACGAACCCCATATTATTTACGCTTTTGTTAAAAAAAGACACCTTTGGTTTTTCTGATTTAACCCTAGTTATTTACTCAGACGCTAGAATACCCACACGTAAACTTCTACCCCATTTTCTCTTCCTATTTTATTGATTTTACCATTCATCCATTTGAAGTTTATGACAAAGTGTGAATACAATCCAGTATGAGCGTTAGTCATGATCATTGATTAAATCATATATTCATTTTTGGAGTTTGCCCAAGCATCGATATTAGTTAAAGAACCATTGAAAACCACCTGGGAGTACTAGACAGTTGATACATCCTAGTTTGGGAGTCATTGGTAGTACGCACCCACCTATCGCCAGGGTTCGAACCCAGGACCTTCCGGTTACAATGCCAGCGAGCTCGTATACCATTCAACCACTGAGACCGGATTCAATGGTCAGTTGATGAATTCTATCTTCCAGCAATTCGTGATGCATTTAGCGCGACCGCCAACCAGGGTTATCGGCGGGAAATCCATCCTATATTCGTTGTTATTAATAATCATTTACTGTTGAAATCTGATGCTCAGTTCACTATTGCATACACGCATATTATCACGTGGAGTAAACGAAGGAGTTAGACAAGGGTGCTTATTATCACCAATTATATTCCGAAATTTGGTGGACTGGATTATGCGTCAGACAGTGGGAAACGAGAAGACAGGGATATCCTGTCCTGACCGACGTGAAGAACCTAGAAGACCTGGATTTCGCGCGTGGATGATTTATGTTTGATGTCACACAAAATCGAAGACTTACAAGCGAAAACCGACAAACTGGTCGAAGAAGCAGCCAGAGAAGACAGGACTCCAGGTGAACATAGACAAAACGGAGGTCATGAAAATAACCAGCCAACAACAACAACATCCAGCGCCAATCACCATTAACGAGAAGGATTTGAAAGGTGTTACTTCATTCACTTACCTAGGCAGCATTGTCTCAACTACAGGAGGAACGGGTGGACGAGGATGTCAAATCGAGAATCGGGAAGGCGAGAAACACATTCATCAACCTGAAACCAATCTGGAAATCTTCGTCACTCAGCCTGCATCAACAACAAAATTCCGATTTTCAATACAAACGTCAAGTCAGTCAGTTCTTCTATACGGATCAGAAACTTGGCCAGTGTGTCACAAAGAATATTTCCAACAGCCTGTTGCAGACCTTTATCAACAATAACTGTCTTTGCTCTATACTGAAGATCAGATGGCCGGAAAGAATCACAAACAAGAAGCTATGGGAACAAACAAAACAATAACCAATCGCTTGACAAATATGCAGGAGAAAGTGGAGATGGATTGGACACTCGTTGAGGAGGCCGCTGGGTGATATCGCGCGTCAGGCCATCGCTCGAGTGGAACTCGAATGGGAAGCGGCGAGTGGGACGTCCAAGGGTGACATGGAGGAAATCGTGTGAAGAGGAGTTGAAACAGTACGTACTAACATGGATGCGAGTGAAAAGTGCAGCAGAAGACAGAAACAAGTGTAGACGTGCAGTTGAAGCCCTATGTTCCACTAGGAACCCAAGGGAACAATAATAATATAATAATAGGTCTTTAGCCAAAACAGTTTAATATCTACCTAAAAGGCATTGCATATAACTCATATCACAATCTCTAAATAAATTGGATCATACTTCCAATGAGGTGCCCCACAAAGCTACCTATAAAGTTTGCAGTTAGAAGTGCCAGATAATTCGATCAGTTTCACTTTATGTGGCACCATGTTAGTTAATGCCGTAATGCGATCCAGTCAGTCAATAGTTTGAGAATTCGTTCTGTGAACGGTTTGTGTTTTAAAGAAACTCACATAGAAGTACATTGTTTTATGTAATTCTGAACTGATGTTATCAATCTAGCGAGTTTCATTCATGAAGTTGGAAATTCAATGTCTTCGGCTTTCTATCAAACATACCTATTGGGCCACATCACCTTTTCTAATCTTATATATATATTTCCTCTCTCAAATAGGGAAATCCTGTTAACTCTAACTTATAGGGTATGCATAGGTTCATTTAGAGTTACAGAAACATGAGTTCCTTCAAGGTTTCAGGTACGCCTTGCTGATTGGTGAGTGCCAACTAGCACAAAGCTTCCTGCCGATTGCCTCCAACTATCTCATTCCGACATTAATGTTGTTTAAATAACATCGAATCAATAATGACAATATCAATGGATTACAGTTCAATAGCATCAACATAACAATACATAGTTAATATCAGAGAAATT